ATATATATATATAGTACCAGGAGAGAGGGCACATTGATTTAGGTGAAGAGTGTCACAAGATAAATATTGCCAAGGGAAATTGAGTGGAGTATTAAAAACTGGAGCAAGTGTGAAAAAATCAGATCAATGCTTAGATGTGTAAAGGAAGACACCCTGGCAGTTGAGTAACAGCTGTAAGTGTGAGAGGAGGCAAGTGTTACTGGAAATACATTTTCAGTTTAAGAAAATGTCAACTTCTTTAATATCAAAATTGAGAGAGTTTTTAAAAGATGCAAACAAAAAATTAAACAATAATGGATAAAAGCTTCTTGTGATCAACAGCTAGAAAACGTTTATAGCTTTATTATAACCAGCCTAACAACTGTACTTTAAATGCTTTAATGTAATAACTTCTAATAAAAACTTTTAATAAGTGTTTATATTTTTTTCCATAATAATTATGTTAAAGATATAAAATGAATTAATGAACAAAATATGTTTGTATTTAATATTGTTTTCAAAACTTGATAGTGTGATTTGTAATTCAACATCACAATAAATGACTAATGAACAGCACTGATTTATACTAAACACCGTACTAAACTGTTGATGCATAACACGTACTAAATACTCTACTAAACTGTTGATGAATAACACGTGTATTAAACACCGTACTAAACTGTTGATGAATAATACGTACTAAATACTCTACTAAACTGTTGATGAATAACACGTGTACTAAATACTGTACTAAACTGTTGATGAATAACACATGTACTAAATACTGTACTAAACTGTTGATGAATAACACGTGTACTAAATACTGTACTAAATTGTTGATGAATAACACGTGTACTAAATACTGTACTAAATTGTTGATGAATAACACGTGTACTAAATACTGTACTAAACTGTTGATGAATAACACGTGTACTAAATACTGTACTAAACTGTTGATGAATAACACGTGTACTAAATACTGTACTAAACTGTTGATGAATAACACGTGTACTAAATACTGTACTAAGCTGTTGATGAATAACACGTGTACAAAACACCATACTAAATTGTTGATGAATACACACGTGTATGAAACACTACTAACTTGTTGATGAATACCACATGTACTAAACACCGTATTGAATTGTTGATGAATACACGTGTGTAATAAACACCGTACTGAATTGTTGATGAATACATGTGTATTATGCACCGTATTGAATTGTTTATGGATAGCACAAATGTATACTAAACACCACACTGAATTGTTGATGAATACACGTGTTTACTAAACAACGTACTGAATTGTTGATGAATACACATGTTTACCAAGCACCGTATTGAATTGATGATGAATACACATGTCTACCAAGCACCGTACTGAATTGTTGATGAATACATGTGTGTACTAAACACCGTACTGAATTGTTGATGAATACAAGTGTGTACTAAACACCATACTGAATTGTTGATGAATACACATGTCTACCAAGCACCGTATTGAATTGATGATGAATACACATGTCTACCAAGCACCGTACTGAATTGTTGATGAATACATGTGTACTATGCACTGTACTGAATTGTTTATGGATAGCACAAACGTATACTAAACTGTTGATGAATATCATAGATGTGTACTAAACACCATGCTAAACTGTTGATGAATAGCACAAATGTATACTAAACACCATGCTAAAATGTTGATGAATAGCATAAATGTATACTAAACACCATGCTAAACTGTTGATGAATATCATAGATGTGTACTAAACACTATACTAAACGGTTGATGAATGTCATAGATGTATACTAAACTGTTGATGAATAGCATAGATGTATACTAAACACTATACTAAACGGTTGATGAATGTCATAGATGTATACTAAACTGTTGATGAATAGCATAGATGTATACTAAACACCATACTAAACTGTTGATGAATAGCATAGATGTATACTAAACACCATACTAAACTGTTGATGAATAGCAGAGATGTATACTAAACACCATATTAAACTGTTGATGAATAGCAGAGATGTGTACTAAACACCATACTAAACTGTTGATGAATATCATAGATGTGTACTAAACACTATACTAAACTGTTGATGAATAGCATAGATGTGTACTAAACACCATACTAAATTGTTGATGAATAGCATAGATGTATACTAAACACCATACCAAACTATTGATGAAAATCACATGTGTAGTAAACACCATACTAAACTGTTGATGAATAGCATAGATGTATACTAAACACCATACTAAACTGTTGATGAATAGCAGAGATGTATACTAAACACCATACTAAACTGTTGATGAATAGCAGAGATGTGTACTAAACACTATACTAAACTGTTGATGAATATCATAGATGTGTACTAAACACTATACTAAACTGTTGATGAATATCATAGATGTGTACTAAACACCATACTAAACTGTTGATGAATAGCATAGATGTATACTAAACACCATACTAAACTGTTGATGAATAGCAGAGATGTGTACTAAACACCATACTAAATAGTTGATGAATAGCATAGATGTATACTAAACACCATACCAAACTATTGATGAAAATCACATGTGTAGTAAATGCCATACTGAACTGTTGATGAATAGCATAGATGTATACTAAACACCATACTGAACTGTTGATGAATCGCATAGATGTATACTAAACACTATACTAAACTGTTGATGAATGTCATAGATGTATACTAAACACCATACTAAACTGTTGATGAATAGCACAGATGTATACTAAACACCATACTAAATAGTTGATGAATAGCATAGATGTATACTAAACACCATACCAAACTATTGATGAATATCACATGTGTAGTAAACACCATACTGAACTGTTGATGAATAGCATAGATGTATACTAAACACCATACTGAACTGTTGATGAATAGCATAGATGTATACTAAACACCATACAAAACTATTGATGAATATCACATGTGTAGTAAACACCGTACTGAACTATTGATGAATAGCACAAATGTGTACTAAACTGTGAATGAATAACAGATTTGTACTGATGTTACTTAGAAAGTAAGTATGCACACGTGTGTCTCAAGTGTTATTCAGAAATTAAATACAGGCACATGTAATTGTGTACTGTTATTAAGAAAGTTATTTGTGCACTTTTAATTTTTATAAATATAGACTTAAGTGTGTAATATTATTCTGAGATGTATTTAGTGTAGCAAGCTTTAATAGTCATATTCAGTTTGAGATTACTCTTGGTGTATCTGTATACAGATAACCAATATTATTCTGAGATGTATTTAGTGTAGCAAGCTTTAATAGTAATATTCAGTTTGAGATTACTCTTGGTGTATCTGTATACAGATAACCAATATTATTCTGAGATGTATTTAGTGTAGCAAGCTTTAATAGCAATATTCAGTTTGAGATTACCCTTGGTGTATCTGTATACAGATAACCAATATTATTCTGAGATGTATTTAGTGTAGCAAGCTTTAATAGTCATATTCAGTTTGAGATTACTCTTGGTGTATTTGTATACAGATAACCAGTGAAGACCATTCAGAGACTTCCTTTATCGGTAACGATAAACATATACAGCGAGAAAGAAGTTATGATGTGTGGGACTCTCAAGCAGGTAATGAGAAGGAAAGGTTGTCACCTGTCCAACAACGTCCACGTAGCTCAACATTCAGTACAGTTAAAGAAGCCCAGAAACAAGTGTTGAAGAAAACTGGAACGGACACAACTTCTTCAGCAGAAAAGTCACCCCAGCATCAAGTCAGCCCAATGATGAACATGTGAGTATGTAAAAACAAAAAACAGTCATTGCATTCTAATTATATAATGTAGTAACAGGTGAACATGTGTTAAGTGGAGTTGTAGTGTTATATATGTAGTAACAGGTAAACATGTGTTAAGTGGAGTTGTAGTGTTATATATATGTAGTAACAGGTGAACATGTGTTAAGTGGAGTTGTAGTGTTATATATGTAGTAACAGGTAAACATGTGTTAAGTGGAGTTGTAGTGTTATATATATAGTAACAGGTGAACATGTGTTAAGTGGAGTTGTAGTGTTATATATGTAGTAACAGGTAAACATGTGTTAAGTGGAGTTGTTGTGTTATATATGTAGTAACAGGTAAACATGTGTTAAGTGGAATTGTAGTGTTATATATGTAGTAACAGGTGAACATGTGTTAAATGGAGTTGTATATATAACACTACAACTCCATTTAATACATGTTCACCTGTTACTACATATATAACACAACAACTCCATTTAACACATGTTCACCTGTTACTACATATATAACACAACTCCATTTAACACATGTTCACCTGTTACTACATATATAACATATATATATAAAGTAGCAGGTGAACATGTGTTAAGTGGAATTGTAATGTTATATATGTAGTAACAGGTGAACATGTGTTACATGGAGTTGTTGTGTTATATATGTAGTAACAGGTGAACATGTATTAAATGGAGTTGTGTTATATATGTAGTAACAGGTGAACATGTATTAAATGGAGTTGTAGTGTTATATATGTAGTAACAGGTGAACAT